ATGTTTCTCTGAAATTTTGGATTTTACTCGGAATTTTCTCTGATTCTGGAGCGAAATATCAGGTGAGGTCCGATGAATGTGGGCAAGAACGAAATTTATTTAACTGGTAGGCGATCGGAGGCATTAGAAGTCGAGAAAAAACCTTTTTCTGCTCTTCAACTTTGGTTTTTCGGGAAAAATGCGGAGCCAAACCTTATGAAGTGGTAGTTTGAGATGAAAAAACAATTTTTTTATTAAGTCTCCAAATTTTGAAATTCCCCCTCTGCTCTGATCCCTTCGCGCCACCACTGTATGTAAGTGTGATCGACACATATATCAAACCTAACATTCATGATGACTAACAAACACTACTGAACAGTGAGTGAGCACTTTCCATATAAGTAATGAGTAAAACAGATGAGCGACATCGTCTGTATTGAATACATTTTCTAAATACTTACAATTTGAGAAAATATTTTTCAAAAAATCTAAAACGGACTACCATAAAATAATTGGTGGCAATTTTTACATCTGGAAAAATTTTGAGTTTAACAAAGAATATGTCAAAAGCTGCTTATTCATATAGAAAAAACTTTTATTGCCATATCTAAAAGTTCTTTATCAACTCGTTCCTGAAAAGTATGTCATCTTAGTCAAATCTACCAGTCACATAAGTGTATAATAAGATTTTAATACAATCATTAATGATAAATTCAAGAATAATTGAAACTTTTGCTAAAAAAAACTATCTAAAAAGATTCATACTGATAGTAGTTTGTTTGCGACCGATAGCAGTTAAAGGACAAAATAAGACGTTCTGTAAGCAAAAAGTTTATGAATTAAGAGAAAGAACGTCATCAGATATTTTCACAGAATAAAATTGTATATGCGTTCATTCGAGCAGACAAAATCGGTAAAATAACACGTTTTCACGAATTCAAATGCGTATTTTTTTTAGTCATCAAAAATCTGTTAAAATTTTTAACGAATAAAATAAGATTTTTCTGTTCACGTAAAATTATTACCTATCCATCGTTCTTAATAATACAACATTAAGATACAAGACCTTAAGGGAATTTTATCTGATGTATAGAATAAAAAATAATATATCACGATGGAAATATTATCATCGCATTTCTATATGAAGGTTCAGATAAAAATGGCAATCTCATTGATGCCTCGTCGCAATTAGTAGAATAAAGTTACTATTTTTTCATCAAAGTCTCATTTTTAATGAAGATCTTTTGATGTACTGAAATAATAATACGAATATAATGACAGAAGTTTAAAAAAGTATGATTACAAGATAAACAACGCTCGTCAAGAGTAACCCGCTTAACCCTCTGTAACGAAAAATAAAAGAGTCCTATTGCTACTTTATTTAATCGTTACGTTGAGTCCAACCTTCATCCGAAGTGTTCGTGTTGAAACTGAATATATCATAAGAAAAAGCATACGAAAAGAAAGAAAGAAAGAGAACAAGAGAAAAGAAACAGAACAAGCGAAAGATAAATGTGATATGGGAAGGAGGGGGGGGGGGTTATCTGAAAGGATGTCCATCTATTCTGTTGGCACATCTTCCGCTTTAATTGAGACGCGCTCCCGAGCGTCTGTATAGCATGAAGTATATGAAAGCAGAATGAGAAAGAGCACACTGTAGATATTTCAGGGACAAAATGAACGAGAGAGGAAAGAAAAAATAACATAAAATTAAATTAAATGAAGTAGAATAAAAAAGAAAGGAAAGAAAAGAAAACGCGAGAACACGCGAAGAAAAATTTTGATGTGAATACATTATAAGTATACTGATGCGTGTGAAGATGAATAAAAAAGAAGTGGATATACATGAATCTAGTAAGACAAGGTACATGGTTCGACAAATTAGTGTTCAATCACCCACTAAAATTGCCACATGAATTATTACGTAGTCGTGGATTTAAGCACCGAAATTGTCATGAACTCCTGTCATCCTTGTCGATGGTAGTTGTCCTTATAACCGTTTGTCTTATTAATAGTATCCTTTGTTTGTCGAACCTTCGCATTATGTTAATTTCTTGTGAATAAATCTATCCTTGTCATTGATCATTGTTCTTATCAGCGTTTGTCTTTGATCATTGTCCTTGTCAGGGTTTATCTGTAATAATTTTATCCTTGTCTTTAATCTTTGCAGTTGAATTTTGTTTAATCCTTAAGTCAATCATTTAATTCATAATAATATATCTTAACGTGTAAAACTTTATAAGAATTTATAATGTATAAAAATCATAATATTTATAATATTTATAATATGGGTGGGTGTGGGTGTGGGTGTGAACAATTACCATAAAACATACAGGTTTTTCACTTGTTTTTTTTGGATAGTGGAGGTGATATGGACTGTTGTATTGGATGAATGGAAAGTGAATGAATATAGTTTCTACGAGTTAGTAGTGTTTCTCATTTTATAGGTTGATTTTGTGTTAATTTATTTGATTATATATGTGTTGTAGTAGTGTGGTTTGTTGTGAATAGGAGTGATAGAGTATTTGATGATTGTTTGAGTTTGTGGTGGAGAAGTTGGAATTGTTTGTATGTACTATGGCAAATCAGGATACATCAATGTTGTCTGCTGATATTGGTTTGAGTGCTAGAAAGATGTTTACTGGTTTTGTATATTTAACTGGAGGCAGTAGTTGCCAAGGGATTTTTCATTTAATGTATGTAGTACGGTAGATAATGTTTTGAATAGCGATGTTGTTCTAATTAATTCTGTTTGAAGGTTGGATGCAGTATTTGTATTTAGTTGGGAAGGTGTTGTGTGGCAGTTAATTAGGACTATAGCAGATTTTGGTAGCGAGTATGACGACATGAATTGTTTTCAGCATATGGTTATTAATTGAGGAAAGTCGGTGATATTGGATCCGTTTAGTATGATTCAAACATGTGATGTTTATTATCAGTAGGATTATGAGAGGAAGCAAGTTCAATCGGTTGGATTGTGTTTCTGTCGAAGATCTAGAAGGAAAAATGGAAACTTGAAAGAGTATACAATGATTAATGAAATTTTGAGCGATCTGATATTTAAATCAGCACCAGTGTTTATTTAAAATGGGAGGTGTGGGATAGGTTTTAGGAATACAAGGATAAGACTTTTAGTTTTGATTTAGTTGTTGAACTAAGAATGTAACATGTTCCCATTGTTCGTATTGAAATAATTGTACATCATTTGGCTCTTTTGTCTCAATTGCAATTCTTTTCCATCTATTTCGTCTTGCATCTGTTGAATAGCTTCAGTTTGGTTGAATTGTTCAATATCATCTTCTATTTGTGTTATATGTGCTATAATATCGACTCGATTCTGTTCAACTAGTTGCTCTTGCTCCCATTGTTTCAGTTGGCTTTGTTCTTGTTCTCGTTTAGTTTGTTCTTCCTCTTCTTTTAATCGCTGAATTCGATCAATTTGCTCGGATTGTTCAAGTTCATCCTGCATTAATATTAATTGTTCTAGAGCAGCAAATCCTTCCAGATCATTAATTTGTTCTTGTTCCCATCGTTCCTTTGGATCCATTTTTTTCCACATATATTCTTCTAAAAGTGGCTCGTTGTGGATTTCGTCCATTGGTTCTTCAAATGGATTCGGATGTTCCGAAAAGTCGTTGTAGTGGCCTCGTCGTCATTCGTAAAACCATTGATGTTGTTATTGTCTTGTTTGTCGATTTCGCTGTCGATGGTGTCTCTGCTGTTGCTGTTGTTGTAATTGCTCCTGTCGCAGTAATTCTTGTCGTTCTCGCCTTCGTTGACGTCGTCGTTGTCGTCTTCTTCGTCGAGTTTCTTGTCTTTGAGTTAGACTATCATGTTCCGACGGATTCGGAAGCATTGGTATTTGACTTGGAATCATATTTATTTCATTGAATTGTAGCGTTGATTCATTTGTTATACGAATCTCGTCTAATAATAGCAGATTAATATTAGATTAAGTTGCATTATTTTCAAACGATGGTGTTGATGGACTATTTCCAATTTGACTGTTGCTCGTAGTCATCCTAAAAATCATATATGGAAATAAGAAGAGACAAATAAACACTACTTTTCATAATAATATTCTTAATGTACGTAAATGTTTGTCAACAATTACTCACCTTTAATGGTTTTGATATAAGTTGTTATTCAAAAATTGAGTGTTTTCTTAAGAACAATATATCTAGAATAATCAAGAAATGAAAATGAGTATGATGAGTGAAATATATTAATGTGTTTAATAATTATATGAATTTTATTTCATATTAATCTAAAGTTATAATATAGCAAGAGTAAGTGTAAGCAATGAAGAAAAAAAAAGAAATTGTTTTAGTATGAATAAATATCCTTGTTTGACGTATTGTTTAAGTTTTAGTAATGATGTTCTCTTGAAATATAGTCTTTAATATTTGTTCGACATTATATTGAGCACGTTGAATCATATTCAATTGGCGATTTTCAATAGCAGTTATAAC